GCCCAATACTTGTTCAATAAATTGCGCATGGCCTTTTTAAAGGTGAGAACGACGAACGCTACATCACAAGATGGTGGGATGTGCTGTCCTCCAGATTTTTCCAAACAATTCAACCAGTCTTGCAGTCAGAAATCCGTCAGTCTTAAACAGGTGTAACAATTAAGTCATCCGAAGCTAGTGACTTGTGGCGCTTCAAAGTTAGAGCTCACTATGGACCTCCGCCACCTTGAATGGGACGGTAGTTAAGGTTTACAGGACAATCTGGTTTTTAAGAGCTTGAACTAACAGGAAGCAGTTTGAAGACCAGAAGGCAGTAGCCTGCCAACACGACCATAGCTTCTGCCTTGACATAGCGGTCAGCTTTGCCTTTCGTGACTATTCAACCGAGCTATATTGGCGTGAATACATGTACCCTTAAGTCCTACCGTGCCAGGTAGGTCACTTAGAGAACTGTAACCCTTAAAGCAGGAACTTAAGCTCTGAGGATGAAGTACTGCTGAATATGTAGGGGTGAGACAGGAACAAAGTGTCCCCCTCGAACTGACAGCATCTGCAACGCCGCTACGTCCTCACAACAGGTGTTACGAAATTTGACAAATCCTGCCTCATAGATTACCGCCTTCGGTAGTAAGGCCTTATGGAATGTGGAGCTAACACATAAAAAGGTCGAGCATGACGGGCCTCAGTCAGTTGTCCCATGGACTCTGTGGTCACACTCCCACGTCACTAAGACCACCACCAAATCAGCTTAGTTTTCAGGTCTCTACAGAAGGAATATCCCACCACAGTGTGGACAGCCAGGAAGTAATAAGCGCCCTTATACCTCTACCAACACCTGAGGTCATCTTGTTCACGAAAACCCCCCCTCAACTCTTGATAATTATCCCACCTCCACGAACAATACTTCTCGCATTTCATCACGCGCCACCAATGCTAATGATTTGCGCTTGAGAACTATTATTTCTGGTTTCCTGAAACTACTACCTAAACTACATATTGTGGCTTTTAATGTTCGAAATTTGTGTCGAATAGAGCAACAGACTTTCCTAACTGGGAATCTAGAATCTCACACCATCAATGTATGCTGTGCCTCGTGAACGCACATCAGTCAGTCAGCTACAAAGTAGGACCAGACACATATGTACATCGGTCCAAGTTACCATACCTCATTAGCACAACAAGATGAACACCGGATTCATAGAAGCAGTTAATTCAGTGGTGGTAATATCTAAAAGATTGCATATAGGGACATAGTACAGGAAGAAAGAATTAGTTCGTAGAAATAAAGATATGAAGCGATTTTAACCTCATAGTTTAAGAGAGGAGAAAGTGTGTATACATCGACGCCATATCACCCAGGGTCTCCAACCATTGGTTACAATAGTCACGCGGACCCCAACCAAGTAGTATGCATCTAATAACATGGCTCAGACTAGAAGTCAGTGTCTTCAAGCACTGACGTCACGTTTTGGTTTGGCCGCCCCTAACTTTCTTCCAACCATCCGGAACACCGGTTAGCATTGCACGTCGTGGTAATCGGTGTTCAGGCATACGTAACACGTGGCCCAACCATCTCAGTCGATGAAGATTAACAACCTCATCAACTGATTTACCATCATTTCCTAATACCCTATGTCTAACTTAACTATTACTTAATCGGTGTTCCCAGCAGATGCGAGCAATATTTCAAAGGCATCTATATGGTCAGATACTAGTGGCTTACGAGTATCTTCTACTCTTAATGGCCACGTTTCTCAGCCGTAAGGTAGGACAGAATGAACTGCTGCGCAGTATACTCGTCCCTTGATTGGTGACGGATATCTCACCTTCGTCACAGGTGACGTATGTTGGCAAAAGTCAAACGAGTTTTCTGAGTCCGTGCAGAGATTTGGTCAGACACCAACCCATTAGGGCTGATCAGACTTCCAAGATAAGTGAAGTTGTAGATGCGCTCGACTACTTTACTCCCTATCCCTTGTTTAGGTGTTGAGGTAGGCCAGTCCTTAAGCAACTATTCGCATTTAGAAGGGGAGAAGCGCATTCCAGACATTGTTGCCCAGTGCTACCCAAAGACTCTGCATTTTATCAGCGTCTTCACTACACTGGACTTTGCCATCTGTGTTTTCTAATACGACCTCCTGATGGGAGATCAATTCCCGAATATTCAGACGTCTTCCAATGACAGACACTGTCACAGAATCTCGCGGTCTACGGAGTCAAATGCTGCTTTTAATTCAAGAAAGACCACCATTGTCGGACCTCGGTAGGCATGTCTGTGTTCTAGAGCCTGACGAATGGTGAATATGTGGCCGATGCGGGCTCGATCAGAATTGAAGCCAGCCTGATTTGCTCGTGCTTGCGATTCGCGAGTCTTAGTTAGGCGTCCGATAATTATCGAGGCTAGTATTTTAGATTTTATATTAGTCTGACTGATCCGTCTGTGGTTATCGCTCGATGGTTGTCACAGGATGATTTTGACCCTTATATATTGTGACAATCAGTGATTGGGACCAGTGAGATGGGATTACGTTCAGCTCCCAGATTTTAGCTAAAATATCAGTCAACCTAAACGCTGAAATTCGACCACTATCCTTAAAGACCTCTGGAGCCAATCCATCAGGACCGACTGCTCTTCCTCGTTAGAAATTGGCTATAGCATTTTAAATTTCAACTAGAGTCGGGGAACATACTTCGGTTTTCCATTCATGCTGTGCGGGAATGTCGGGTAGTCGTAGAGTAGATGAAGGCCAGTTGAACTGCTCCTTAAAATGTTCCGCCAATCGTTCTAAACGTCTGGACTAAAAGCAGATGAGCGTCGTCTTTTTCTGAGATAGTTTCACTTACACTTATTACTTCCAGTCTGAAGAGCTGTCTTGTGTAACCTACGGCCGTCGTTTTTTCCATCTCTTTTGCTTTCATTGCCAACCACTGCTCATGGTTTAGCTTTCTGAAGAATTTCAGAAAGATTTCTGTAAAAGCCATCTTCCACTTCGTACGGGATGTACTCAGCGGGAGCGTAGGCAAAAACGATTAAAATACAACGAAGTGTGTCCCTATCCTTACGGAGCACATAGGCGACTATTAACGGGGACCCACTCTAATAGTGCTTGTTCTGCCCTCGTACTCCGTGTTATACCTACATCTGTCAGTCCACGAGAACTAGCCGTCGGGTCGCCAGATACACGGAGGACGTTTCTCGTCGACTCTCCGTTTTGGCAAGTTGAGGTCAAGTGAATGGCCACACTAGGATCTTGATTGTATGTTTCGCAGACACAGCATACATCAATGGCCTGCTGGCCGATTTGACACAAGATGAGTACGTTGAAATCTCAGTAGACCTGAGTGTTTTGAGCACTAAAATCACTGGCTATGCGGACACTTGAGAAGGAAGCCAAACGAGGAAGTTTAGATTTGAAAGTCGACATATGAGGAGTACCAGGAATTGTAGAGGGAGATTGATTATGAACACAGTGATCCTTTGTGTTTAGAGATACCAGGACGGTTTTAACTTCCCGGCTTCCCACTCCGTGGAAGGGTTCTTCTGGAGGTACCTGAAAAGGAAATTGGATTAGAGGTGGTCTCAGTGACCTGAGAACGTGACCGCAGTGCCCAAGAGACAACTGCTTGAGGTCAGTCACACACGATCTTTTTATGAGTAATTTTTGTGTTAGCTCCGTACTTGTTGACCCTACCGCCGGAGACGGATGACCGTGGGATAAGACGAGGTGTGCATTTCTAGGGTCGACCACTTCTGACCCCACCCCTCCTTGAGGAAGGGCAACATCACCGTTATGCTGGTTGTCTAAAGGAAACATCTTGCTGCCGTCACACCTCTGTACAGTCAGCAGCACGACTTCGCCTTCGGACTTTGAGTTTGTTGCTTTTAGTCTTACCGCTCCTCCGCAGGACCTTGAGGAACGGTTGTTCCACCCAGTATAGCTCGTTTGCTTCATCACGATAGGCAAGCCAGACCACCACGTCGAGGTAGCAACAACGGTCGGGCCCAAAAGCACACGTAGGATTCACGTTCTGACATTCATATGACCTCACCACGTCAATATAGATAACCGACACGAACTACACTTCTAGTATCTGGAAACCCCAGTGCTACTTCCCTTGACCTCGCTGGTGTACGTAGAGCATTAAGTTCAAATGCAGAACAGGGTTCGTTAGGCTGAATCCCAATAGAAAGCTAGCTTCAATTGACTCATGATCTCAACTGTTGAAATTTATTTTATTTTTCGATGACCGTCATAGAACCACATAACTTCTTACCGTCATTTGGAATGTCGATTATCACAAAAATACAAACCACCATACTGAAAATTCTAATAGTAGAGAATCATGTATTAAGAATCGTCTGCTCGGTTATCTTCACATTCGCTGCCCATGTAAGTGATTTCCGAGTATAAGTTCCAGTCTCCAATCAAGTTGTCGAAATAAATGCAGAATTATTACGTAACATAATTAAGGCAGCGAACAAAGGACTTGTTTCATCATAAAACGTTAACAAAATACTAATTCATTGAGATTGTGAAGACGTAGTTACACATCCGCTCAAAGTCGGACCCAAATCACTGGTGGTTATCATAATAAATTATACATCTTCAAGTGAAATCTAGCACATGTCTAAGCTGAATTTGAAGGATGCATATAAAAGCCACTTTCTGCTATCCAATGTTTGCATACGAAACATTTCGAACGAGGTCGAGATTTTGGTAAGAATAGAAAGTCATGGCAACCGGTTGCCATGTTCTTAATATTTCAGCTACAAACCTGCACAAGTGTATTTCAAATTGCTGAAGCTATTTCTCAGCAGAGCGAGAGCTTAGCGCACTACCCTATTACATGAAATCCAACACCAAGGGTCACGATCTAAAAAGAATAACAATAGCGACATGACAATTTATTTTGAACACAAACTGAAAATGGTTCCAACCATAATGGGACTAGTTAAAGTGAAACTACCAAATCGAGTTTTTAAGTACTAGTGAAATAAGCTAATAGTATAATCCGTACTGGCGACTGCATTCTTTTAGAGCTTCAGAGAAGCCACTGCAAGCACTTATATCACTTTGAGACTGAGCGCATCGAATAAGTTCATCGACATGGTATTGACATGGAGATTGAGATTGATCCGAAGTTGAGGATATCTGAGCAGGCTGTGCAGGATTGCCACCCAATCCACCTGACAATGCTCCCGTAACAGCGTGACCAACAACTGAACCAATAGCTACACCCCCGGCTGTAGCTGCCATCTGTCCCATTAAACCTGGCTGTCGCGGTTGTGCTGGAGGCTGTGCAACAGCAGATGGAGGTGCACGAGCCGGCAAATTTGCATGTGGACGAGATGACACTCTTGAAGGACTAGATCCTCTATAGAATTTAAAGACATCGTGTAAAAGACAAATGATAAGGTTACCTTCGAGGCATTGTGTCAAGGTTTTTGAAGACCACGCTGCTGGACTCCCTACGACAAGGCCACTAGCGAGTTAAAACAAATAATCACCTACATTAACGATTTAAAGTATGTGAAATTGGTCTTCTGTGTTTAAGAGATCCACTCGTTTATGTTAGTTTTTCGACTGTATTTCCATCAAAATAACATTCAATAGTTGGATTCAGATTTGAGTTGTAAGGACAAGAATGCCGACAGCCATCTAATACCAGATAAAAAAAATTAGTCAATCGAAAAGTATTTTCTTTTCATGCGGAACAATTTGGATCATCTGATACACTTAGGTAGCTCTCCAGAGCAAAAGTCAAATGTTGAGGCCGTTCTCAAATCATGCTGTTTGCCTGTAAAATTTCAAGCCCATAGATTATTGTTTTTCAAATGTGTTTTCAAAAATTTTAACAATAATTAACCTTGTTAATAAATTCCCTCGTATGATAAATCAACAAATATTGATTTAGACTCTGATATGTATAGTAAACAGAGAAGGCCTTTGCCTTATGCTTTTTGTTCTGTAGTATTCATCTGGGAATTTCTAGTGTTCTCTTGAATTTGTCAATTGAAGTCGGTGACACCACTGTTTCTATTAACAGATCCTAAGGGTCGATGTTTAGGTGTGAAAATACGTATGCTACTGGCATTTTGTTTGTAAATGGTCTATTATGTCCCCTGAGATTTCCTGATCTGGTAAGAAGAGAGAGGAAGGATATATTAGGTCCTAAATCATTTTTCACTATTCTGTATATTAAGATCAGATAAATCCTTCGGATCGTTAAGGTTGAAGTGTTCGTCAAAATTAACAGTCTGATGCTAACAAAGTTATTCAATTTCGAAAGCTATTCATTGGTACGAAAGTTTGCCCGAAACTTTTCACCTCCGTAGGTGGGGCTCTAATGGTACTAACCCAGGTGGCCCGCTTCGTAGTAAACATGGAGTGGTGTACGAGGTATTTCGCTTATTCGGTTTTTAACAAAGGCATGTGAAATCATGATCTGTTATACACTCTTTGTATCATGATTTAAATTTCACGCTATTACTGTTAATTATGGCTTTCACAAAATCGCGCTACAATCGACTTATTTGAACATAGGATGTAGATATAACAACTATAAGGCAGTTCATTGTACAGGCTCTTCAGGAAGGACCATTCACTGTATGAGCAGCAGAAATGGAAAATTGCGTTATCGTCCCAATGCCAGTAAACAAAATTTTGTTTCGGACCAGTTTATTAATAAACAAGTCCTCCGTTCCCTCGCACTATTTTTCGGGCTAGGCGTATGTTGAACGTTTCAATGGTGTAAGCCAGTCGATGCAGTTGGGACTTTTTGGTCCTATTCAATCCCGTTCATTCAGCCTTCATAGCTTCAATATGACTGAGTAGTGTATTTCAGTCTGCAATGTCAAAGCAAATATATAACAAAAATACATTGAATTTACCAACTAATGGATTGCATGGTCAGGATTTTCCAGTTTGTTGGTGATATAGGAATCTAACCCCACCTTAATGCGTATATTTGGAGCACGATATGGCAATTTCGTTACTCAGAAGATAGTTATGCGTTTTCCAACTCTTTATTTCATTGTCTTAACTACCGTTTCATTCATCTCTTAATATTCGGAATTCTGCATAACTCCTCAGCCCAATTACTAGATCGTAACTTATGAACGTACTAAACCGTGACAATGTAAAAGAAGTATTATGTGTTTTTGCTGGTTTAGTGGTTGGGTGGAATATTGTGAAGGGAACATATTGATGAGTCTCCGTTGACGCCTTCAAACGGGTTATGTTTGTGTTTCTATGAACATGTTGGGTTTAGTTACCAGATATGGCCACCGCCTACCTATGGAGTGCTATATTTGTGGCCTGTCTACTTCACTCTACGATGTCTCTACCATGTTAACAGAAACCTGTGTTCCAAATCTCTAACTACTTGGTACATCCAATTTTTGCTCTGGTCCGTTTCTGGAACATGTTTGATTGATTCACTCGTAACTTACGACCCGAACAACAAGCTAACTTAATTCCATTTCGGTTACCAAGGTTTGTCCATAAATTACAAGTAGTCGATCAAAACATGATGTACTAATCATAACAATTACACAAAAACCCTCAGTTCTTAGGTTTCTTGAGCAAAATTTCCAAAATACGAAACCGAATTAGTGTAACGTCGAAAATACCTGGGGTGAAGTTGTAAAAAACGGAGTTCCAAATTTCAGTAAAACAAATGCATTCAGAACGGTGCACTCAGTGATATACGCTATAACAAATGAACACTTTCAGTTCCTTCTGTAACACTAATAACTCTAGGCTGTTACGTCTGTTAACGGATTACATTTGGAATGCTTTTCACTTCATTCATATACAAACATGTGCTCCTCAAGTAATAGAGGATATCCAACAAATACACTGGACAACTTTAATCGTCCTCTTTCGACTGCCGACCCTCTTCTTATGACTTTGTCATCACCACGATTACCATCTGTGTTCTGGACATATATCCTCGGTCCACTTAAATCACACTCTAAAGTACGTATGTAAGCCTTTAATGCCAATGCGACATACGAAACCGAAAAGTAACATACCACGCCAGTGACAGTGGAATCTCGTTCTATCACAGCATTCTGTTACTCAAAGACACACACCATTCAAGAATGACCGTTCATCTGTCTTCATGTAGTCAATCTACAGAGGAGGAAATCTATAAAACCTGCGCTTCAAAAGACTTGTCTGTTTCTTTTTTCAACCTCGGGGGAATCGGTGTATCCATAGGTATAAAAGCAAAACAGATTCTCATTAGCCCGTTTCCAGTAGACGATCGCTTTTGTGCTGTAATACTAAGTGGGACAGAGGAAACCCGGATCGCAAGCAGAAATGTGCGTCATTGCCTCTACCTACTCTACTACTAACTGCACTTTGTGAAGTAAATATGTCTCACAGGGATAATCCTTTTCTCCTTATGATAACTAAATGCTAAGACTTCCTAATAGTACTTTGAGATGTTATTATCCAAAGCGAACTTAAACATGCCTCATGTCCCGAGACGGATAACAGTAACCGGCTGGTGAAACTTTATCGTGGCAGCTGTTTATTCCTAGGAAACACCTATCTTATTATCAAGGAAAGACGTCATGTAACGTGTCGACGTCCGAAATTGCCTCATCATTACACAGGAAAGGCCTATTTATGACCATCCACCGCTGAACAGGCTTGGCAGATGTCTTCCGCTCACTGTGGAGACATGCTTAGACTCAAATTAAGCTCTGGTGTAGAACAATATTTGAATATTTTGAGTAAAGAGAAACTTCAATGGGATGACGGTTTCGCTTTCTCTCTCTCTATACCCTTTACCTACCTTTTGCTCATAACCACACAGGGTTTATAAATAAATATTTTGTATCACATTTATATAAATTATCTTTTCAGATTCACTGTATCTTCATTATATATGTAGGACCCATAAAAGCTTATATTTGATGTTTACTAGCTGCAACTAAGTGGGACTTTCGTCGCTTAATCCCATACTATCACTGCACAAACTCTCCTACCATCAAATTTTGCCACATTATTGGGTCGGTTTTCGGTTTTTCTGAAATACACATATCACTATTTCTTCTTATTTTATCTCATAGACCGACTAAATAAATCGCTCACACCTTTCCCGATTCTTCCTTCCTTTGTTCATCAAAGTCAACTCAGTATTCTTCTAAATACCATGGAACCTGTTTAGATATGTAAACATCAATAAGACTTGTGAGTAATTACATTTACGAGGATACCCCAAATAGTTTCTTTACAACACATATATTCCAATAGCCTGTTTGTGAATAGTACTAACGATGATAATTATTCGGAATTCAGGTTGACGATTAAAAGGTTAGAAAGGCATTTTGTTTAGTTCAATCACTTAATTAGGATTTAGTACAATAACTACTCAGGGATATTGATATTTGTCTTTTAAACTTGCTACCTACTTAAATTTTGTTTGCAATGCCAGATTAGCTTCGACGTTCCCTCAACAGAACCTGTCTCATTAGATTCAAACCCTCTCAATAAGGCCAAGGAGCTTTCACTAATAGACATTTGCAATAAAAGCGATTAGGCTAGAATATATACATGAATCTTCACATTTTTATGTAACATTTCTGGGGTAACAAGGACCTAAAAATGCCACGAGTATTCAAAATTTTACGACGTCTTTACACTTAACGTCTTTATTGTCGAAGTCTGTTAACCTAGTCAAATCAGAAGTCATAAAACTAAAAAGTTCTAATATATTGGTAGGTGTTTTATCTAAGCTGGCTAATAGTTGTGATATATGCGTAGCACGGCGTACCTGCTGTTGATCTATTGTTAGACCAGTACTAATGTCAAAGTAGACTATAATTATACAGTCTCTTGCTTATTAACTATTTCCCTTGTTGTTTGACACGTTAGTTAATGCTAGAAAAGCTTTGACTGTATAGCTTATGTTTTACTGTCGGAAGCATTTTGCGCTTTTGATATAATTTGTTCACTTTAGTAGATAAAAACAGTTTAAATTGAACATATAATAGTACGAGTGACACAAAAATTCTCCATACGCGATGCAGAAGAACGTAGTCTGGCCCAACACAGTAAGTTTATTTCGTTAATTCTGCGTTCAAACCGAATATTGCTATTTCCGTCACAACAACCATTAGCTTTACTCTATGGTACAGATCATTAACCTTTTTTTCTTGTTCTAAGAGTCCGAATTTGCTAGTAACAAGTCTTCTTGATGGATTGGAAGATCCGACATACGTTTAAAAGCATGGATCTGTGATTGGTAGATATGAGAAATCGAAATCAATATCACTGAATACTTCCCTTATCACCATCATCATGAAGAGCATAAGACAAATAGTATATTCTGTCGTACAAGTATGGGTGCATTAAAATCCTCACCCTCACTATCAGTGTTTGTTAGTCAGAAGCTTCAACCTCTTTCGCTTTTCGATA